AGAGCTCCAGTCCTCAGGACGCTGCGTGCTGCACCCGCACGGGCGGGCGTGCAGTGATGGCGGCCCCACCGTCTGGGCGGAAGGACAGGCAGCCTGCTCCCCCTGTCCTGGCACCAGGGTCAAGGGCGCAGCGGGCGGCTGGAGGCCACCCCTGGGTCACCGGGTCAGGCAGGCAGGGCAGCAGCTTTGAGAAGCATAATTGGAGGAGGCCTGGCTCAGACACTGCAGCCAGCCAGCGAGGCCCAGCGTTTGGAGACAAAGACCGAGAGGGCAGGCCTTCCACGGGCTCAGGAGTCTGTACAACACACTGGGTGGAGGTGCAGGGCACAACGCGCAGTCCCACACCCGGCTCCAGTTTTAGGCCTGAAGTGTCTGACCTTTTTTTTGCTGTCGGTTGTGGGGCCTGAACTCTGGGCCTGGGCACTGCCCCTGCGCTCTTCAGCTCAAGGCGAGCGCTCTACCACTTGAGCCACAGCGCCACTTCAGTTTTCCCAGTGGTTTATTGGAGATAAGAGTCTCACAGACTTTCCTGCCTGGACTGGCTTTGAACCAGGATCCTGAGATCTCAGCCTCCTGAGTAGCTAGGATGACAGGCGTGAGCCACTGGTGCCCAGTCAAAGTTTCTGATCTTTAAAAATAAGAAAGGTCATCCAACTGCCAAGAAACCACAGCCCACCCACAGGCAGAAGCTATCTGGGTGGAAGGCAGGAGGGTAGTGGTAACACTCCTGAAGCCCAGTCCACGCAGGGCTGATGCTGTGTGCCCTGTGTGGGTCCTGAACCCCCGTACGCATGCCAACCAGGCTACAGTGGCCAGCTATGTGCAGCACACAGTTAGAGAGGCCAGTGGCACAGGTGTGAAAACACGGACACAGACGTGTGGAGCTTGTGGGTCACCTGGGGCGACCAGCCTCCACTCAAAGCACAGCCCCTCCCGACGGAAGTCACACAGGCCAAGAGACAGACCACTGCCCTTGTGGGAAGGGCCAAGGGCAGGGCCATCAGACTGGCTACGTACCTGACAGTGTGGTTTGACACACAGGGCTTGACTGGGAAGGGCTGTAAAAATCATCGCTGAGAATGGAATAAAGGACAAGACAGCAGGCGGCGACTCTTATCCAGGGCAAGGCCTGAGAAAACCTAGCACGCACCTGTGGAGTTCAGGGCCTGGGTCCTGGTCCCGGCGTGAGCCCAGGGCCCCACAGAAGAACAGAAGATGGTGTATTCTGAGACAGCCAGCCAGCTGGAGGCCAGCCCCAGGCAATGGCGGGAATCACACCTGAGTCCCATTTAACTGCCGTCAGGAGCCTGAGCCAGAGGAGGGAGGGACCCGGCCTCCCCAATGTTGGCTCCGGTCAGCATTCTGGAAGGGGCCCCCTCGCTGGCCTGTGCTGGAGCGTGAGCTCAGTGCATACATGGGGCAAAAGCCTGCGCCCAGCACCAGACGGGCTCAGGGTTCACAGTACTGAGACGGCTCCCAAATTCATTTCAGAACCAGCACAAAACCAGAACCAACAAGGATAAAGCAAGCTGCTCTTGCTCACGCTGCATCAGCACAAGCACATCTGAACAGGCACAGAGACATACACCTGTAATCACAGCTAGCCCAATGCCAGCGTGGGAGCGAGAGATGGTGCGGGACTAGCCAGGACAAGGGTATAGAGCGCCTCAGCTCAACAGAGAAGCTGGGTCTGAGGGACGAGCCCGGGAGGCACAGGAAGGCCAGCCCTGAGCAAGCGAAAACCTGAGACGACGCAAAAACAGTGAAATCAAAACAGGGCTTGAAGGCGTGGCTCACCCCGTAGAGCGCCTCAGCCGAAACCCCAGTACCAGGAAAGCACGAAGCCGTAGACCGGCTTGCCGGGCCCAGTGCCGCCAACACACAGCTAGGAGGCTGCGGTGCCATCACCCCTCCCCTGCTTTGCCATCAACCGTCAGGTAAAACCCCTGAAATCCTCAGCAGAGGGCTGAATGGTCTTTCCCAGCCTCAACTTCCCCTTTGTCTGTCCAGCTAGCCATACTGAGCTGTATGGGGACCTTCCCACTCTGGGAAGTTTGAAGGAAGATTCCAGAAGAGGTGGAGAAGACCAGTCTCCAAGGCTGGCAGCTGGTCACACTGAGCCACCACTGCCCAGGACTCAGGGACAGCATAGTGTGCCTGCCTGGCACTGGGGCCCCTGCCCCCTCCCCCCCGCCTGGGCATGGGTACGGAGGCTGGGACATTGCAGAAATGGCCCTGGAGCCAACAGAGGTCAGCCCTGGACGCCAGGCTGCCAGGGGTGTGCGGACCGAGCATCGGGTCCTCCTGCCCCTCTTCCTCTTCCAGGTCTTCCACCGGAGCCCAGCTCCCCAGCCCCCCTGGCCGGCGGCCCACGGCCCCTCCAGAACTCCAGCTCCAGGCGGGGCTGGGTCCTGCTTCTCCCTGCCACTCCCACAGCACACAGGGGCCAGGGCCGAGCTAACAGCTGGTCCACCGCACGCATAGCAGCACGGGCGGCAGGAGGCTACCGCCATGAGCATGCAAGCCGAGAGCGTGCAAGCCGAGGCCCCCTGCAGGAGTGACTGAGAGACAAGGGGCTCCAGAATGGCCAGGCTGGACCGGACTGGGCGGCAGGGGCTAGCTCCAGCTTTATGCTTTATCTCCACTTGAACAAGGTCACGCAGGGCTCGGTGGGGGAGGGGCGGGCGGGACACAGCCCGAGGGAGACTCCTTTGAGCCCCAAACTCTGATGGAGGACGGGCCTCCGGGAGGAAGTGAGCCAGTGCTGGTGAGACTTCAGAGCTGGGAAACCCCCGTCAGAGGCAGGGAAGTTCTCCACTGCTCCCCAAGAGCCCGGGACAGCCAGAGCGTGACCCCCAGCAACTCAAGATGTGACAAGAACCTCAGCTGGAAGCCCCAAGTCCCAGCTACACACTGCCCTGGTACTGAGCTCCACCACAGCCCAGCACCTCACTGCCCTGTACTGAGCTCCACCACAGCCCAGCACCACACTGCCCTGTACTGAGCTCCACCACAGCCCAGCACCACACTGCCCTGTACTGAGCTCCACCACAGCCCAGCACCACACTGCCCTGTACTGAGCTCCACCACAGACCAGCACCACACTGCCCTGGTATTAAGCTCCACCATAGCCCAGCACCTCACTGCCCTGTACTGAGCTCCACCACAGCCCAGCACCTCACTGCCCTGTACTGAGCTCCACCACAGCCCAGCACCACACTGCCCTGTACTGAGCTCCACCACAGCCCAGCACCACACTGCCCAGGTACTGAGCTCCAACACAGCCCAGCACCTCACTGCCCTGTACTGAGCTCCACCTCAGCCCAGGTTTTGCAGCCCACAATGGCTTCTTCTTTTCACATCTCACTGTGTCCCCTGTTGTCCACAGAGATGCTTAAGCTCCTCACTAAAGCTGTAGTGAATGACAGATGGGCTGCCGGGGCCAAGGTGGCCTGCATGGCCTTAATCCAAACAGAGCAGGAGCCCCTCCCGGGCAGGGGACACGCGCTCAGCTGGTTTGGACCCGAGGGAGCCTGGGCAGCTGAGTTTCTGAGCAGCCTTCAGCTTCATTCTTAACAAATCCCTCTCCTCTTTTCTTTGGGGCTTTTTGCGAAAGGCAGAGGGTTCACCCTGGAGAAGCTTCAGGAACAGGAGGGACCCCGCACAGCAATGCGCGGTTCGCCAGGGAGCAGTTGGGGTACTTACAAGCCCCAGGTCCCCCCTGGCCCCCAGGCTGTAGAGACAGCTAAGCAGGGACAACTTTGACACAAACACAGGGCCCGGAGAAGAGGGGCCTGCGATCACAGCACAGTAGAACACTCTGCTTTCTAGAAGCCCAGTGTCCGGCCTACCTATTCAATCACCATGTGCTGCCTGCTCCGAAGCAGGATGCTGAGCAGGAGGATTTCCCAAGAGCAGCCCTAGCAGCGCGGCCGCGGGCTGGAGCGGGGCTCCCTGCCTGCCGGGCCAGGGTGGGTGCTGCGGACTCGGCCCCGCCCACACTCCCTTCAGAGGGGTCTCGGCCCGGCCTCGGGGTGCAGCACGCGCACAGCACCGGGAGCAGGCCGACGCGGCCCGGGTGTCCGCGGTGGCACAGGGGGCAGCGGGGAGGGCGGAGGGACCCCCGGGACGGGATGGAGGCAGGGCCGCTTGGGGGGACGCAGGGCGTCTGTCTTCCTGGAGGTGATGCTAACCCCACGGGGGCCGAGCCGGAGGAGGGGTGGGGGCGGGCGGGGCGGGCTCCGGAGGCCGCGGGGGGGGGGGGGGGATCGAGGGGGCCCGCCCGGCCTCCGCCTCGGCCTCCGGCTCGCCGCTCCTCCCGCGGCCGGCCCGGGTCCCGTCCCAGGCGGTGGAGCCGCGCGGGCTCAAGGCTAAGCTAACTCCGGGCTGCGGGCGGGAGCGGGGGACCGCGCGGGGCTGCGGCCGGGCGGGCCGGGAACGGGGCGGCGCCGCGCGGGGTCCCCGGCGGGAGGGGCCAAGGCCGGGAACCGGACCCCACTCCCCGCGGCCCGGACCCCGGGTCCCCCGAAACCTGGGCCCCGCTCCCCCCGCACCCGAGCCCCCCGCACCGCACGCCCCCCGCACCCGAGCCCCCCGTTCCCCCGCGCCCCCCCCGTTCCCCGCGCTCCCCACTCCCTCCGCCCCTCACGCCCCCCGGACCCCGCTCCCCCCGCCCCTCACGCCCCCCGGACCCCGCTCCCCCCGCACCCCGCGCTCCCCGCTCCCCCCGCCCCTCACGCCCCCCGGACCCCGCTCCCCCCGCACCCCGCGCTCCCCGCTCCCCCCGCACCCCGCGCTCCCCGCTCCCCCCGCACCCCGCGCTCCCCGCTCCCCCCGCACCCCGCGCCCGGAGCCAGTCCGCACGCGCCGACGTGGAGGTCTCCCGCCTCGCCCCGCGCCGATCCGGACGCGCGCCCCGCGGAGCCGGCGCCCGCGCTCGCGTCCCCGGGCCGCCGGCGCGAGGAGGACCGGGCCGGGCCGGGCCGGGCCGCGGGACCCACCTGGGCCTTCTGCAGGGCGCTCAGGCGCAGCTCGTGCACGAAGGGGTTCCGCCCCGGGGGCGCCAGCCGCGGCGCCGAGTCGGCCCGGGCGCCGGAGGCGGGCGCGGCCCGCAGCGCGCGGCCCCGCAGCCTCATGGCCGCCCGCCCGCCCGGGGGAGCCGGGCGCCGAGCGCGGCGGAGCGGGGAGCGGAGAAGCGGAGCGCGGGGAGCGGGCCGAGGATGCGCGGCGGGCCGAGGATGCGCGGCGGGCGGGCGGCGCAGGCGCGGGAGAGGCGCCGTGACGTGGGCGGGGGGCGGGGCCGGGCGGGCGGGGCCTCGGGCGGCGCTGGCGCTGGCCACGCCCCCCGGCGCCCTCGTTGCGCCGGCCTGCGCTTGCGCGCCCAGAGACGCGCGGTCTCTGCCGGCCCCTCCCCGCGGGCCCCGGGCCGGTCCCCGCTCCGCCGAGGGCCGCGGGGGCTCCCGGGCCCCCTGCCCGCCCCGCCCCGCCCTCCGGGCCCGGCCAGGTGACGGGCCAGCGGGGCCGCGGGCTTCCCGGAGCCCGGGGGGCCCGTCGGGGGTCGCCCTCGCTCGGTGCCAGAGCCCCGGGAGCGGCGCGGCGCCTCGCTGCGGTCGGGCTTCTGCCCCGCCGCGGCCTGGCCAGCATTCCGCCGGCCGCGCCGTGCCCGGCCTCTCTCCCATCCCGCAGCGGCCAGGGCCCCCAGGGCCTGCCCACCCTGTGGCCAGCCCCCCGTGCCGACCCCAGCCCCCCCCCGCCGACCCCCCCGTGCCGACCCCAGCCCCCCCCGCCGACCCCAGCCCCCCCCGCCGACCCCAGCCCCCCCGTGCCGACCCCAGCCCCCCCGTGCCGACCCCAGCCCCCCGTACCGACCCCCCCGTGCCGACCCCAGCCCCCCCGTGCCGACCCCAGCCCCCCCCGCCGACCCCAGCCCCCCCGTGCCGACCCCAGTCCCCCCCGTGCCGACCCCAGCCCCCCCCGCCGACCCCAGCCCCCCCCGCCGACCCCAGCCCCCCCGTGCCGACCCCAGCCCCCCCCCGGCTACCCCAGCCCCCCCGTGCCGACCCCAGCCCCCCCGTGCCGACCCCAGCCCCCCCCGCCGACCCCAGCCCCCCCGTGCCGACCCCAGCCCCCCCCCGGCTACCCCAGCCCCCCCGTGCCGACCCCAGCCCCCCCGTGCCGACCCCAGCCCCCCCGTGCCGACCCCAGCCCCCCCCGCCGACCCCAGCCACCCCCCGGCTACCCCAGCCCCCCCGTGCCGACCCCAGCCCCCCCGTGCCGACCCCAGCCCCCCCGTGCCGACCCCAGCTCCCCCGTGCCGACCCCAGCCCCCCCCCGTGCCGACCCCAGCCCCCCCCCGTGCCGACCCCAGCCCCCCCCCCGTGCCGACCCCAGCCCCCCCCGTGCCGACCCCAGCCCCCCCCCGCCGACCCCAGCCCCCCCGTCCCGACCCCAGCCCCCCCCCGCCGACCCCAGCCCCCCCCCCGCCGACCCCAGCCCCCCCGTGCCGACCCCAGCTCCCCCGTGCCGACCCCAGCCCCCCCCCCCCGTGCCGACCCCAGCCCCCCCCGTGCCGACCCCAGCCCCCCCCCGCCGACCCCAGCCCCCCCGTGCCGACCCCAGCCCCCCCCCGCCGACCCCAGCCCCCCCGTCCCGACCCCAGCCCCCCCGTGCCGACCCCCTCGTGCCGACCCCAGCCCCCCCGTGCCGACCCCAGCCCCCCCCCGCCGACCCCAGCCCCCCCGTGCCGACCCCAGCCCCCCCCCCGCCGACCCCAGCCCCCCGTGCCGACCCCAGCCCCCCCCCCGCCGACCCCAGCCCCCCGTGCCGACCCCAGCCCCCCCGTGCCGACCCCAGCCCCCCCCCCGTGCCGACCCCAGCCCCCCCCGTGCCGACCCCAGCCCCCCGTGCCGACCCCAGCCCCCCCGTGCCGACCCCAGCCCCCCCCCTGCCCACCCCAGCAAGGTCGGCGGTGGTCCGGCCGGGTTTCCGCATGCACACAGCCCTGGATCTGGGACCAGCCCGGGCGGGGATGGAGTTAAATAAACCAGGTGAGGTAGTGCACACCTGTAACCCCAGAGCTCGGAAGGCTGGGGCACAATGATGGCCAGCTCTGGGCCAGCTGTGCGCTGTAGTAAGGCTCAGATTGAAAAGGATGTGCTTACAGCCAGTGCCAGCAGCTATGAACACCTTCCTCTGTGCGTTCAACGTGGCTTTTTTGGGGGGGGGCAATGTTATTATATGTGTGAACATACCTGCCCGGCTCAGCTATGATTCTCACTCGAGTCTGACAGAGTACCTGTCCAGTGCTGTGTGGATCATACTTGTAATCTGGGATTTAAGCTCCCCATCCTGAGGGGAGGGGGGGTGCCACCACCAATATCAAGCAGATACATTTGAAAGCAGCCTCGGCCCCCATATCAAATGCACAGCGGGCATGAGGGCTGGGAAGGTGGCTCAATGGTAAAGCGCTTGCCTTGCATGCCTGAGGCCCTGGGTTCAATTCCTCAGCACCACATAAGCCAAAAAAAAAAGCTGGAAGTGGTGCTCTGGCTCAGGTAGTAGAACACTAGCCTTGAGCTGAAGAGCTGAGGGACAGCGACCAGGCCCAGAGTTCAGGCCCCACGACTGGACCCCCCTCAAAAAAAGCACAGCGGGCACCATAGGTCCCCAGCACAGAGGTCTCGGGGTTCAGCCACACCTCACTTGGAAGCTGACGCTGAAGACATTAATACTTAGTTCTTTTGCCCATTTTGGAAGACGTCTGTGGGTTTTGAATGTGGCACTCGACAGGGAGGTGCCAGATGGCTTCAGAGGCATCAGGGGTAATCTGTAAAACCAGTTCTGCCTTTGGGTGTGTTCCGGCAACCTTCACCAACTCAACTCTGCTATCAGAAGTCATCAGCTGGACGCCCTCACTGACAGCTACTTCAGTGTAAGACGCGTGTTTCCATGGATTTGCATAGATAATCGTCTCAGACTCCGCAGCACCTGTGGCTTGGTCTAGTTGGCACAGTTCTAGTCCATGGTGAGGGCAGCCAAGATGCTCACTCTGCATAACGGAGCACATGGATGACTGGGAAGAGCTTTTCACCATTTAGATGTTTCTTCTGACTGTCTCTGAGGCTTGTGTCATAAAAGCCACCTCTGTCATGGGAAGAAGAAAGTGCATTAATTTTGGGACCAGGATGTTCTGGGTAGTAAAGCTTTTGTTGAGAACATGGCTGTCAATTTCTTCCTTCTGTAAGGTGCTCATAGCTTTCTGCATGTGCTTCTGAAATGCAGGTAGGTTGAAGGAACTCACTCAGAAACCTCATCAGCATGGTTCTGATGATGAACCTCAGAGTGGCTGAGGCCCACGGTCCCCCTCGTGGACATACGAGCACAAGCCCAGAGCCCAGGGAGGGCTGTGTGGTACCCACATACCCGAACGTGGCCGGAGGGCTGACTTACTGCACCCGTAGCATGGGAAATGTTGTGCCATCATTTTATTTTTAATCTAATTCAACATACGTCTTGTGAAGCACTCTTCCCACTTGTTTGGTTGTCTGAAAGAGTGGGTTGAGTTTCTAAATATTTGATAATTTTCCAGATATTTGCGATTGACGGCTAGTTTAATTTCATAGAGTGTATTTTGTATATTCTAAACGCTCAAACTTGTGCAGATTTGTCTTACAGCCTAGCATCTGGTCTGTCTTGTAAACGTTCTTTGTGGACTTGAGCAGAAGGCGTGAGTCCTGACGTAGGTGTGCAGGGTGTTCTGAATATCAGCTCAAGCTTGGGCTGCTCAGGGACGACTCCTGCTCCTGTTGGCTTCCCTATACATCGCACCGACGCCTAGAGCTTCTTTCTGTGCCCACGTGCCTGCAGTTGCCCCTCGCTTTCCCTCAAGAAGGTGCCGTTGGCTCCAATGTGGTCTCACTTCAAAACTTGTGCCCTGCAAAGACTCTGCCAGAGTCAGGTTCATGGTCAGATTCAAGTCAGAGTTGGACACGCTTCTGGTGGGTACCATCCAGCCCGTTATAGACACTGCGAGCATCTAAACTTGAACAATTTAGGCAAAATCATGAGTAGCTATGAAAGACAAAACGTGGTTCCTATTGGCTCCCTTCAACCACACTGTGAAGGTCGAGGCTGGCAGTGGGAGTCGGCAGGAACTCGCAACAGCTGGGCAGACAGAGCCCCGTGGAAAGCTCTCCCATCACTCCTCATGTCTCCAGTGGGGAAGCTGAGCCCGGTGTTATTTCCAGAGGGCAGCTTGGCTGGACTCCAGCGACGTATCTCCCTAAGGCTGCATTCTCTTCCTTCTGCTGCTGTGTCTCACAGTGAGTGTTCTACTGCTCTATCCCCGTGGGCCTGATGATCCTACGAGAATGTTCTAGATTTGGTCCCTAGACAACCAGTTGGCCGCAGGTGCTCTGGGTTCTTGGTTGGTTCTCTGAGGCCTGAGGAGTTTGGGATAATGATGCCCAGGCCTCTGGACACCTCTACACTCAGTACTGCAGACTGGAGCCATCAAGAGGCTCTAGAGGCTTAGTGGAAGGAGGTTCCAGGAGTGGGGGCAGGGGGGCTGGGAAGAGAGAGGTTCCAGGAAAGGACCTGGGCTGAGGGAGGCTTGGGCGGACACTGGGTTCTTCTTAAACCACTCTGGAAGCTGGCACTGTTCAGAGAAGCTACAGCCCCAATGTGGGGGAAGAGCATTGCGTTCATGGAAGAGTCAGGTTGAGAAGCATGAAGTAAAAACACTCCATTCTGATTTCTTATCCTAAGATAGGCACTGTTAGAGGATAATGGTAATAAGCATCAAAAAGTTGAAACTGTAAAAAAACAAAAAAAGCTGAGGGCTGGGAAGGTGGCTCAGTGGTAGAGCGCTTGCCTTGAGCTGAAGAGCTGAGGGACAGTGCCCAGGCCCAGAGTTCAGACCCCACGACCAGACCCCCCCCCAAAACAAAGCTGAAAATCACTCAAGAATGGCATTCATCCACCCTGGGGCATCCACCCTGGGACATCCACCCTGGGATCCACACTGGGGTCCACCCTGGGATCCACCCTGGGATCCACCCTAGGGTCCACCCTGGGGCATCCACCCTGGGGCATCCACCCTGGGACATCCACCCTGGGGTCCACCCTGGGGTCCACC